GTGAGCTGGAGACTGGACAGCAGAAAAAGTCAAGATTCTTCAGGGACTTTATCTGTGGGGACTGTGTAGATTTTTCATGAGAGGATTAATAAACTGAGAATTTAAATACATATATATGTGTATTGGCTTAATATATGTATTTAAATATATAAATATATACATATTTAAATATATAAATATATACGCTAACATATATTTAAACCAGTATTTATGCAAAGTTTCTGAATAGGAATTTAAACTAATTTCATGGCAAACCTCTCCCCTTCACACACACACAATTTTCAGCAATCCTGCAATGAAAACAAAGAAATTATCCCTATTACTTTTTAAAAAATCAAGTTACTTGAATTATGAATTCAAGTCATCCTTTTAATGCTTGCTTTGAGTCCACATTGTTTTGTTTTTCAACACTGAGAAAACTACTATTTGGTATTCTTCATAGACACACATGCTTGAACTTGGTTTTAATTTTATTCTCTTTAATTTATCTCTCAACACTGTTTTTGTTAAAGATCAATAGTCACATTGTTATGTGCTAATAGATGCCTCTAACACTTCCATAACTCTCTTAAGGATTTGAAAGCATCATGGAAGCCATTTAATATTATCAGTGACTGGCTAAAGGAGGATGGCTTTCAATTTGCATAGGGAACTATCCAGTTCTCGTACCAGCACAAATACTATATTAATCAGGGTAAGCTATCTACTGTAAAAAATGACCCCCACATCTCAGTGGCTTAAGACAATAACAGTTAAGTTTTCACTCACATTTTCTCATAGTTAGGATAAGTAGAGGGCCTGCTCAGATGACCATTCAGATACATCCCCTCTCTCCTGTAGCTCTATTCTCCAGGGCTAGGAATTCTTTCCATCCTGCCCACGAATGGAGAGAGAGTGGAGAATGATGGGTGGGTGGGAGGTTTTTTAATGGGCCAATTCTGGAAGGCCCATGTCGCTTCTGCCACACTCCAATGGCTGGCACTCGAAGGACTGCACCTAACTGCAAGGAGGTTGGGAATTGTTGGTGTAGGTATGTGCCAGGAGGAGGAGGAGGAAGTGGGTTTAGTGAGCATCTAGCCATCAAATACCTTTGAGTCTGTCACAAATACCAAAATAAATTGCTCAGTCAAGAAAAAAAAGGCAATTTAATTTAAAAGTATTTAAAACTAATGCTGGCATAATTTAAACATTTTTAAAATTAATAATGTAGTTTATATTTATGACTTATTATTTATACTAGCAAATCTAGTGAGAGAAATAAGCAGCCAAATTCAAGTCAACTTTTTACAAGTTATTTGCAAACAGCTATCTAAAGTCTAAATATTTTTTATTGTGAAAAAATATACATAACATTTACTATTTTAACCATTTTTAAGAGTACAGTTCGGTGGCACTAAGCACATTCACATTGTTGGGTTAATGTCACTACCATCCATCTTCACTTTTTTTCATATTTCCAAATTGAAAATCTGTATGTATTAAATACTAACTCCCCATTCACCCTCCCTCAAGCCTCTTGTAACCACTACTCTGTTTTCTGTATCTATGAATTGGACCACTCTAGGCACTTCTACAAGTGAAATAATGCAATATTTGTCCTTTGTGTCTGGCTTATTTCACTTAGCATAATGTCCTCAAGATTCATTTAAGTTGTAACATTATCAGAATTTCATTCCTTTTTAAGGCTAAATAATCTTCCACTTTATGGACCTACCACATTTGCTATCCATTCATCCATTAATGGACACCTGGGTTGTTCCCACCTTTGGCTGTTGTGAATAATGCTGCTATGAACAGGGTGTACACATATGTGAGTCTCTGCTTTCACTTCTTTTGGATATATAACCAGAAGTAGAGTTGCTGGTTCAATTGGTAAGTCTATGTCTAATTTTTGTAGGAACTGCTCTACTGTTTTCCACAACAGCTATGAGTCAGAATAGTTTTAAAGACAAACTTGTAATCGGTTTCTACAAAAGGTAGTGACTCATCTGTAACATTATAGTCCCCATAAAAGGTTCCTTGAATTGGGGGATTATGTGTTTCCAATGTTGTTCTTCAAAAACTAGGATAGTTTTAAATTTTATTTTTCCTTTGCCTCTAAGTGCAGTAATAAAATATATTGAGTAGTTAGCTGTATTCTCTGGGTGGTTTAATGAATAGGAATTTGATAGAAAAATGTGTGTTTTTCAAGTGCCTTAGCCCCCTTGTGACATTGGTATCTATTCCATTTCCTAGATGTGATGGGAATGGTTTACCACGCCATGGCTAAAAATTTAAGCAGGAAACTGCAGCACTGTCATTTTAACTTCCAGTTAACAATTAACACCTGACAGTAAGATGACATTGTAGTGCATTTTTCTGCTGCTCATCTGACAAATTATCTGGATTATTTTATGTTTTGCCCTCTCCAGATTTTTTTGTAGAGACTCTTTCTGTTATATTTAAAACAACTAACTCGATGATGAAAACCTGATGCTTTCCAGAAGTTTAACCCAAACAGTGAGGGGGTTTGGATGTTTGGTTTTGATTTCATTCTTTCCACCAATTTTATGTTTCTGCGTCCGTCCGGGGACTGTGAAAATTCAAACACATGATGAAGATGAAAGGCGGGGACTGTGGAAAAGAGAGTGCATTTGAACTGAACCCTAAACTGAGAGATTCATTTGGAAACCTTTGGTTCCTTAATGATGTGATTTTTAACTTGGCTATTTCATCACAGACATGGATAGTCCAGGGTTCGAAACATATGTCCAAACTAAGCTTTCCCAGGAAGAAAGGCTGAATAATGAAGTTGGGCACAAGGCTTGAGGCCAGATTACCAGTTTTGACAGCAGCACCTAATAAAAGATCCCTCTTATCTGTTCTTGCCTACCCGACCTCAGGGCTAGTAGATTTGGGGACCAGTAGTATAGAATGTTTATTTTTTAATTATTTTTAAATAGGATAGCATGTGATGCTTACCTAATAGTAATATTTAAACCACTTATGATATGAAATGGAGTTACAGTGTGTACTCAAATGCTATATGCTATCAAATATTTTCACTGTTGTACATTGGATTTGCATGAATTTCTCTCCCCTCGTTTGAAAACACGTGTTCACAATAGCTTGATGCAGCTCCTGAAATAAAACTCCTGCATATTAATTTGAGGTTTCTTTGAAGCTACTTCTGTCAAAGAGAAATGAAATCTAGACCAGTTCCTCTTTAACACTATGTTTTTAAGGAGGAAAGCCATAGAAATAAGAGCCTGAAGGGAAAATCCATCACAAATCTTGTACAATGGGTGCAAAGTGGGTAGTGGAGAATTTAGTAACTTCCACAAAGAAAAACCAAAGTCATTTTTTTAACACAAATCTTGTGTATAATTTCACGTGTGGCAGCAAGGGCTAGTAAAATACATAACATTATAAATAATGGATGTTTAGGCCTCTCTTTAACAGCCATTGTCAGGCAGACATGTATCTGGCTTTGTGGCTGCAGTGCTGGTAATCTAAGCGGTTGCCTACACTGAAATTGCTCTAGAAGGCTCCCTGGATCCATCTATTCACTATACAATCTCAGTATAAGCCCAGCCATTCCTCGTAATATTCAACTGTCTCAATACTCATCCCTCTGGAGTTCGTAACCACTACTTTTTTCTTGTCTCTCCCACCTCTGGGCCTGGTTTTATCCCCTTCCCTGTCTTGGATGTAAGCAGCCACCATTCTTTAGGACAATTGCTCTCACTCAATATTTTCTCCCTGCCTAGCCCTTACCAGCCAACATCTTTATAACTACTTATACTTTCACCTTTCTTAAAAAAAAAAAAAAAAAGAAAAAAAAAACACCAAAAAGAACCCACACAAAATAAAACATATATATCCTTTTTTTTCCCCCTCTTTTTTTCTGACTTAACTATATTAATGTTTTCCCTAGGCTCCTATCAAAGTGCCTGCTCTCTACTAAAAAGGTATGATAGAGGGACATCAACCAAACTGGGGTCTAGTCCTCGCCTTGCACAGGCAGCTCTCTCTAAGACTGTTTTTGTGTCTGTAATTGGAGGAAAGAGAGATCCCACACACACAGGGTTATTATAAAAGTTAAACACGATACCATATACAAAGTACCTGTTATAAAGCCTAGCAGAGTTGGCCTCAGGAAATACCATCCATTATTATTATTATTATTATTATTATTATTATTATTAAATGCCCACCTTCCTTTCAAATGACAACTGAAGGTTCATCCTCTTTTCCTCAGATTCAGGATAAAATTAACTGAATCCACTGTAACACTTAAAGGTGTTACTCCATATTTTGGCAACTGATCCTAGCACGGTGTTTTGTAGACAGACTTACCTGTAGTCACTAAGCCGACTTCAGTTGCATGACATGCTGGGCCAGTTCACATGCTCTGCTACTCTATTTTAAACACGAGAAACCTCAAGCCCAAGGACAAGAGACGGTGGATAAATAAGCGCAAATCCTGCTCATGACACCCAGTTGCCAGGGCAGCCCCTCTGATGTGTTATCCTTGGAGAAAACTGGAAGGGTTTTTGGAGCGACTGAAGCCTCTGTGTTCCTGGCTTTTCTGCAGAGAACTGGGATCTGGGGGAATGTAGCTGCTTCCTTTCCCCTTGGGGATCTAGCCCCTGGCCCATTCAGCTCAGGGGCACTAGGCAGAGGTGAGAAACCTCTCCCTCCAGGGTATTTGGGGACTATCGACAACAGACTCTTGCGCAGAGAAGTGGGTTCCCAGCACAGACACTTAGAACATCTTGCAGCTACAGCCTGCGGTCCTCTTCTGGGGTAGGACGGGGTCCCAGCAAGCTGGAGCCCACACTTGGCCTCCAGGAGAGTGGGGTGTGGGGGGCGGGGCGAGAGAGGTGGGAAGGAGGCCCCGCCACCCCCGGGGCTCCCTGGGCGTGGCCTACTCTCAGGGTGGGGCGTGGCTGGGACCTCGGGGCGTGGCCTGGGGCCCGTAGGGGCGTGGCGGGGCCGGGGACACCACCCCGGGACCTGGGGGCGGGGAGAAGACTACCGGGAGGGTGAAGTGGGAGGGAAGCGGGGCGAAGTTCAAGGTCCGGGAAGTTGGGGCCTTGCTGAGGGTCCCCGTGGAGAAGGCTGCGCTCCTCGAGAAGAGGGAAGGTCCTGGGAGCCAGAGCGGGCGCGGGAGCCGTGGGCCTGGTAGGAAGGGAGGGGTGCCATGCCCGGAGCCCCCGCGGCGGGATCGCGGCTCAGCTCTGCGCCTTCATGCAGAGCTCAGCTCTTCTTGCAGGGAGCCCCGCGGAGGTTAGAGCCGCGCCTGGGCCCGGTGCTGCTGCCTTGCCCGCAGAGCTCGCGGAAGCTGCAAAGCCTTGGGTCCCGAGGCTGAGCGAGGTCTGGGAGGCCGGCCTGGGCTGGGAGGTGTCTGGGTGCCCCGAAGAGTTAAGGTCCCGCCCAGCCCTGGCCTGAACCTGAGGCGGAGAGTCTGGCGAGAGGGAGGCCGAGGGCCCGCACGGCCAGGGCTCAGTTGTTTCGTCTCCAAAACGCTCCTGGTCCCCTCGGGGCAGCTGTGCTGGGTGAGGGGCGCTTCTAACTGGCTGGGCCTCCTTTAATAATCACAGCCTTGGGCTCTGCCACACCTTGTATTTTACCACTTAATGCTTCTGGTATCACGAAGAATTGCAAACACAGTAGGTGCGCCTTCCCGACCGAAAGGAGTGTGGCATTTACAGCTGCTGTGCTGGGCTATGCTAGCGGCGGTGCAGTGACATCTCTGAGGCCATTTACAGATAAAAACTTCTGCCTTGTGTAGAACCAGGAGTCCGTTTGTCCTCAAACCACCGCTCCAGTGGAGGAAACTGACAAGCATTTACTCCTAGCCTACAGGATAATGGATTCATTGTCTACAGAAGGAATGTCAGTAAGAAAAGAGCCCTAAGACTTAGAAAACCTACTTATCCTGTTACATTTTATTTTACGTAGACAGAATGGGTGTACTCAGCTATCCCATAGAAGTAAGCAGCCCCTTCAAAAAGAAATCTCTATGCATCCTGCAAAGATTAGACAACTTGCTGGTTGTTGATAGCAAGGTAGCAACTTAATTTTTTTTTTAAAAAAAGATAATTCAAACACAAAATTTTCAAGGTGCTACTTTATGAAATTTTTCCTCATTTGTGGAGGCTAGAGGTTGCTTTATGTTATAAAATTTACTAAGATATGTGTAACATAGGTATTTGGAATAAAATAACAAAGTGCATTTGGTTGCTATTCCCTGATCTTAGAATCATAATAGAAATGCCCAAGCCTGTATTTGTCGACAGTTGGTAAAACCTAATCACCAGGGTTCTCTGAGCTCTAATTGAATCCTCTCCACAGCCCCCACCAGATATTCCCTTGTTGAAGGAAGGTAAGGCACAGAGAAGTGAGGCCACACTGCTGGTAAGTTTAAAGAAAAAATTTATGTATTTCTAACTCCAAAGCCTGTGCTCTTCCCCCTTAGCCACCTGTACTTTATTTTTCACAAGTAGATAAGCAGTCAGAGAGGTTGCTGGTTTTAAGAACTCTGGACCCATGTGTACAGCCTAACCCTCGTTCTGGTTCCAGTTCCTGACTTTGTACAAGTTCCTTATCTTTCCTAGGGACATAATTGATCTCTAGTATCTCCTAGATCTAAAAAAAAATCTATAGATGACTGAAAATAAGATTCTGCTTTTAGCAATTAATGCTATTGTTGGCCACATTTGGTGTAGAAATTACAGGGTGGTCAGGAAGGGTCAGCTGATTCATTCAATAAATATGCAGTGTGTGCCAGGATCGCACTGGGGCTCCACTGGAGAGCAGGCCAGGTGAGGGTTCTCCTTGGACTTCAGATTCTGGTTGGAGGCAGAGGAACCTGAGGAAACAAGGAAGGAACCAACAAACAAGTTAATTAACAAACAACTGCAAATGGTTAACAGAGAGTATGATGAGAAAAATGGGGTGGGGGAGGCAAATTGGTTAAGGTGATAAAAAAGAGGCCTCACCAAGACCTGATTTAGAAGAATGAGTTGGACCTAGCGATGTTTATTCCTGCACTGGGCCCTGCAAGGGCAAAGGAATCATGAAAGATTGGGGCATGGTCTAGAAATTGCCAGAAGGTCTTTGTGGGTAGAGCGTGATTCGTTCCAGATGAAGTTGGAGACACAGGGTAGGACCATTGGTGCAAGGCTATTTGTGGTCTAGTAAAAACCCTAGATTTTCATCTAATAGCAATGGGTAGCCACTGAAGTACGGTAGGCAGGGGAGTTGACATGAAGGTGGCTATGATAAATCCACAGGGAGGATGATGGTGGCTCAGGCTAGGGTAGGAGCAGTGGACACAGAATATGGAGTTTTTAAGTATCACTTCACTGGTGGGGCCTTCTGACA